CCCATTTAAACTAATGAACCAAACTTTTTGGTGTATCCGTCAGGGGTTGCATCAGTTATTTGGTACCCTAGCCTTCACTCTGGCGCTTCTCAATCCAATCGGAGCCCTATTAAGACCAGAACCGGATTCCCCCAAACGATGGCTATTTAATTGGGGCCATTGGTTCTTAGGCAATGTGGCCCACATTAGTGCCATTACAGCCATATTCCTGGCCACAAAACTATCAGCGGCTGACTTACCCAAACAGTTCGTGTGGGTTATCATCACTTTTGTCATCTTCAAAATCATTGTTCATCTGATTCTTCAATTTCACGCGTTTTATGTGAAACGAAACAGAAGTAAATAATTTGTTTAATTAATTATTTAATTTGGGATAACTTTGTCATACTATATGTGATACTATTGTTTAAGACATTAATTGTACATTTTTGTTAATATGAAGGCTTTAATCCGGTGGAAACCAATGACATTGCAATGAACGACATGTCCGACTCGCACGATGACCACAGGGAAGCCGATGGCCCGGGAAGTGGTTTCCGGAAAACCGTTTTAGTCGTATACATTGTGGCGCTCATAGCTTTTGTGGTGGCATTGGTTTCGTTGATTAATCTGCCAAAGACTACATCGGAATGAATGGCAATACATTGAATCTACTCTTAATACTTTTATTAATGATTTTGCATTAAACGCTAAATTTTATAGTGAAATCAAATTCATGTATTAATTCGTGATATCGATCTCAAGCCAATTCATATTAATTTGTAATTTGAGTCCATTTCTAGAGATTTTCTGAATCTCATCCAATAATTAGTCCACTATTTAAATCTATTTTTGTTTAAATGCATTTATTATTTTAAATGTTTATTTAAAATTATTATTATAAATTTATACAATTATTGAGATTATTTGACTCGTATTCTGCAATAAATCACACATTAGAAAATGAACAAAATATTACTACTTTATAATTATATAATTTATTGCTAATTGAAAACAAGAATCACAAATTGAATTTTATCTTATTTTTTTTGGCAGTTATATGATTAAGTTAATACATTATTACACCAAATTAGTAAATGAGTGATATTTTTCACATATACTGTATTCTAAAAATGAATACAAATGTATTTATTTGTTAAAAATAAAACTCAACCAAATTATCGAAATGAAAACCACATTTATTATTAATGTCTGACCTATTAGAGCTCACGCACGTATACCAAAAAATTAAGCTTAAATGTTTAATAATCTATTCAATGTTCAATATACTAAGGGTTTGTATCAACTGATAAGACATTATTCTGTGCATTAATAATTGAGATTTCTATACATTTTGGTACATTTTCTATACAACACTCTACTCTTACAGTTAACAAGACAAGTTTCTACACTTTTACTATTTGACTTAAATGTTGGACAAAATAAATAATTTTAATTTTATGAATTATTTTAAATATTATAATTTAAACGCTGATTTATAATCATTAGTGCAAACTATTATCCGTTAATTGATTGAATTTTCAAAAATCCGAAATTCATTCAAATAATAGAAATGATGATTCAATTATTTATTGACGACTTGTGTAAATTTGTTGGCATTTTTGTATTAATTGTATTAATGCTTTTGATAGCAACTAAAATGTTGTTAAATGTATGGGATTTATGCACAAAAAAGTCGATCAAATGGTGTGACGAACCGAATACCTGGGCTGTGATCACCGGTTCTACTGATGGCATAGGTCTTGAATACGCCAAACAATTTGCCGCAAAGGGCTATAATCTGTTGCTTATGAGCCGTAATGCAAACAAATTGACAAAAGTTAGTCACGAAATACAGTCATCACATCCCAAATGTCTGATCCGAGCCCTGGCCGTCGACTTCTCTCATAATGATATCTACGCCACAATTGCCGAAGAAATTGCAGATTTAGATGAAATACACGTTTTGGTGAACAACGTTGGTATCACTTATCCTAATGAATGTCCAGAATATTTCACAAAAATCCCAAATTTGAATCAATTTATCGAAGCTATGGTTAATGTGAACATAATTTCCTGCACTCGACTGATGGCTTTGATTTTACCCCGAATGGAGGCCAGAGGTCGGGGAGTCGTTATAAACATCTCTTCATTTACGGCCAACTTTCCTACGCCTCTATTGTCTCTGTATTCCGCGACCAAAGTATATATGGATTATCTCTCGCGAGCTCTTCATGAAGAGTATAAATACAAAGGAATCACAATTCAAAGTGTTTTACCGTTTTATGTGTCCACCAAAATGACTAAATATATCAAAACCTCACTCTTTATACCAACTCCGGAACAATACGTAAGAAGCGCTCTCAAGACGGTAGGGATTGAATCGCAAACATCAGGCATTTTTGGTCATAAGTTGATCACTAATGGTCAGAGGATTGTCGCCTATTTATTTGGCACTAATTTCTTGATGAGATTGGCGTTAATTCACTTCCAAGAGCTGAGACAACGATTTTACGCCAACGAAGATATAATTCATTTGAATTTCAAACTATTTATTCCGACAAAACCATAAAATGTTTGTTTAAAATATACTTCAGTTTTTTAATAACTTTTATTCATTAGAAAATTTTTTCTTAATTTGTAAAAAATCATACCTTGTTATCAAACTATTTCTTAATTTTTATACGAATTTTATTAATATTATTTTTATTAAAAAGTCTAATAGACTGGGGTTAATGCAAGCATACATAATAAATGAATAAATGAAATAATTACTAAACAAAGTTTTGGCATTTAATTAATTTGTGAGTTTATAACAATATATAAAAATATTAAGTACAATAAAGTGATAATTGATAATTTACTGTTTGTTAATGAATTGGGAGATATCCGGTGAGTGACCACTTCTCCTATAGGATCTAATGGACGATAATTCCAATAAATTGGAGATTGCTTTCTGAATGGGAAACTTTTTGCCATCTTTTCTACAAACACCTAAATCAGCATTTTTTTCAAAATATGACTATTAAAACATTAACTTTATTTAATTTGTAAAGGTATTAATTAAAAAAATATTTATAAATAATAATTTATAATAAATATAAAATAAAATTTGAATAAACTAAGAGTAAGCGTTAATACAACTACATAACAAGATTAATTTATCATTTATATGAACGATAATTAAGAGAAACTAAAATTTGCATTTAGAGCTAATTAACTTCTGATAAAAAATACTGATTATTGTAGCAATTGAAGTGAAACTTAAAATATTTAAAAATAGATCAAATAAAATATGCAACAAATAGATTACTACTAAAAACAACAAAACAATAAAATCTTAGAATAGAGAGAAAGTGTATATAATTATTGTTTACGGAATTAAATGTAAAGTATTAGCAATTAATTGGTTCCTCATATGAATATTGTATTTGTAATATAAGGCGACAAACCTTTAATATCGTCATAATTGAGTGCAAAAGTCATTATCCCTCCCATCGCCGCCTTCACCACCCATTGAGCCTTAAGAGCGGCCGACACATCGCTCTCATATGCGATCCAATCGAAGTTCTTGTAGGCAAAGGGCACCTGACTATACACATCAAACTCCCGGGTCGCCCCACCAGACAGAAACTCGCAAACAGCCGTATCTAACCATTCAAATG